ACATAGTTGGCTTGACCTTTCATAGTGGTGGTGTTCGATGGGGGCCTCCTTTAAGATCGGAAGAAATTGCTAGAATTCAAAGCAGCCCGTATAACAGGGTGTTTTTCACATCAGAGGACTCTGTACAAAGATGACTGCAATGTTATTAGTATGTTATTCCTGTTATTGTAACTAGCTGCTTCTTAGGTACAACTCCTTCTTAGGTATTAAGAACAGTGAATCCCATTGAGAAGGAAAACCGATTCGTCCGACAAAAGTAACTTGTTCGCGGGAGGAATTCTGCATAAGGGAAGCTTAATCGTAATGTCAAATCTACAGTAGCCACCACTGAAGCTGGGTTTGTTCATTCGGTTGTTCATCTGTTTTTGAGCTAGGGGCATGCTTCAGACAGAGGAACCCACGAACAAATGGGTCGAGATTTGCGCTGAGTACCACCAAAATGGTATTTATAAGGTTCGGTGGATCGCTTGCGGGCCTGGTATTAAGTTTTACGTAGTTTATCAATGAACTGCTATTCACGCTCCAATCGTAATTTTGAAAACTCAAGCAAGCAATTGCCATCGACATATCATCGAAACCTGCATTCAGGCTGAACTAATTCCCTATGGGATTCTCCACACAGAAAACACCATGACTTCGGTAAAATCGATTTCTGTTTGTTCCCAGTGGTTCGCGTTTGTAGGAGTTGGGTACCAAATAACCCCAATTTTGCGGCGTCATCGCTGGCCGACTTCCGTTCTCTAGCCAGAATTTTCGGTCGTAGATCAGTGCGGCGAGGAGAAATCTCCACTGGCATGAGGATCGCTGTCTTCTTAGTAATGGGCGACCACAGCCTCTCTGTACTATTGGTCTGTTTTATTCCAACCTGGACAAAAGCGATTCAAAGAAAATTTAATTATCACCAAAATATTGGGCTGGTAATACCGCTGATCAGGATCACTATTCGTTTTTTATTCTAATGTATTGCATTTGAAACCGCTTTGAAGCTCATGGGTAACACGATGTTTGGCCTTGCTACTTTTGTTACTCGTGGATAGGGCTCGAGATAGCTCCGTGATTAGGGTGCGCATTTACTGACTGAAGGGTCCATGGTTCAAAACCAACCTCAGCATCTCGACTGATCCTGTCTAGGATTGGGCAACCTGGAAGTATCTTAGCTCTTGTGCGGCATGGCAACTAGGCCCCGCAAGTGTTATAGCTGAACGACTATCATTATTTACTCGTGGGTAATGAACACCTTGGGAAGAAAATCAGGTAAGATTCGCTACTACGCAGTGTCCACAACATCATCGAGAACAACTGCTTTCACTGTACACTGAAATATTACGCTTTAGATTACATAGCTGACACCAAAATTGCGTATGCTTTTAAGAACATTAGCATGAAGTTCGGTGCGATTTACGTCTAAAAGATTTTGGGTTGCGTGGAACAGTTGATTGCTCCTACATACAGTTTTATCACTGAAACTATTTCGATGGACAGCAAATTACTACGAGTGTTGGATCATTTCCCAATAGATGGTGAAATAATTTCACACATACGTGTGCAACAAACATACATCACAACTGAGAAACGCTTCATCGTCATGTAATATCCGAGGTTTCCAAAACCGAAAGGGTTTTTAATATTATTTACCATATTAATCCGGGGAGATCTGGTAATTCTGTTTGGAACTGTGAAACCGTGTGATTTGAACTTGTACGGCTAACGATTTATTCCACGAATGAAGCTTCTACAGCCCGTAGAATCGCGAAGGTTTGTTTTCTTTGAGATTCAAGAACATAGTCAGACTGACCGAGTTCCCCTTTGATAGTTCTCAGTTGTAGACACTTGAGGTTTTGCTTTGTCGAGCACGGTATTCCATTTGTCGTTCGCTATGAGTTCATTGTTAAGATACTCAAGAGCCCTGGCCTCATAGTCTTTCGTCTCTGGTTATTCGGTGACATCCCATCCATGAGATTTGTTATACGGATGACTTGATTTTCCGTGGCGCTCAGGTTTCAGCGCGCTTCTCGTGGTTTGCTATATTTGTACTTATGAATCTAGTTTTATTTGCCTAGAGCCGACTTCATTTCTGGGTACATGCCTTTAGTGGCTCCCGCTGATGAACAAAGCAAACAAGATCTGTTCTGATGACGCCAGTGAAACCAATGCAGTGACAGCGGTGCTGCAGTGGAAGTTGTCGAGTAGCTTTCACAAAAAGGCTATTAGGCGGCTCAAAAACAAGAAGACAACAAGAAAGTAGGACTATTCTATCGACCGTACGGATTCGATATCGTCAGTAGACTTTTAAAAAAGTCGGTGCGATTTTAACGCACTATTTACAGACAATACAAAAAACACCTGTTCGGCCCCAAGGATATCATTTCTGCAGGTGGCCACACTTTTTAGGATTCGTTGCACGAACCGTAACACTACTTGCGTCAGACGAATAGGTAACTGACAGTGCACATTACCGAAGACAAAACGTCTCAAAACGCGTCTCAGTACAATGACAATTGGAGATTCAAACACCGATCTATATCTCTGGCGGATAATCACACGGTCTTGATTGATCAAGCTCAAACAAGACTTTTGGTAAATGCAGAATGACGCTGTGCGGAGTCTGGCGATTCACACCCGATCTGTGTGCGTTGTCTGTCTGATCAGCACAAGTCAATAATCGTGTCGCCTCAATCCACAGACGTGTACTCTTGACTACTCCGATGACGTCCTCGTAACCTTAGCTACCAATTCGGATTCATTTTACTGTTTAGTGTAAATCAGACTACTCAACTCTCGAAGAATATCACTTGCGGTGGCTGAAATGTCGCGCAACAAGCATCAGTATACTAATGTCATAAGGCTATTATGATGTATCGTTTATGAGGCAGTGCAAACCGATACGCCAATGAACTAACTGAATTAACCGAAAACACTTACTACGCTAATGAATGAGTGACTCACGGACTCATCATCGGAGATACAGAGGGAATACGGTTTCACTAACAGCTCGTATAACCTGTGCTGTGAGAAGCCTTTTTGTAGTGGTCCAGTACGGGGAGATTATCGTATTTCTAGACGGAGCCGATCTTGAGTGATAGTCCCTCTGGAGAGGACAGTGTTAAGTGACCGCCCCTCTGAGGAGCTGGACAATGAAATGCGTTTTCAGTGAGTGTTGCTCACTTCAAGAGGGGAACAAGGGTTGGTGCCATACACTGATTAAACAATGAATTACAAACTCAGCTGCGGCTTACGGGGGCCGACAAAACAACCCTCAAAATTAGGTACCACACCTTTGTGTGCATTCCGAAGGATTGCACGTCACTGCTATCTCTTGCCGAGTACGGATTTCGCAGGCCGATTTATCCATACAGAGCAGACAATGCTACGGAAAATGAGCGAATGCTATTGCAGTACATCTAGAATAGATTGACGAACTGTTTCTACGTCCGAAGCCGATTCGAAAATCCCCTGAACCAAGCAACGATTTCTGTGAAAGGATTTACAAATATACTAAGAACAATCGTTAGCCCAAATCTCAGTAAGCGGCGCATTATCATGCGTTGTGCAAAGACCGATGGACCTTCTAACCAATAAGTTCTGTTTGACAAAGTACGGAACTTTCAAAAGGGCGAAACAGGCGGTCTTTATAAGATCAGTACGTTGGAAGCGTTATCAAGAAAAGGCGTAACAACGGTAGTCTTAACGTTTTATTGCACTACCGAAACTTGAGGACTGTATAATAGCTAGACCGTGATGGCGGTCAAAGATACTACATGAACAAGTTAAGCTGTTCTTGGTGAGTGGACTTTTTGCAGGTTCACCTACTGCATGCGGTTGAACCCGTAGTGAATTTCACCAGGTTCAGTAGTTGCTTGACAGGAAGGAGCTTCAGTTACTCAGTGAGTTGAGTAGTAGCATCTGAGTTGATTTGTGTCGCCCTTATAACTTCCAGACCAATTTTCAAAGCATCCTCTACTTTGCTAGCGATGTTGCAATGCAAAGAAAATACCGGCTGATGATAGAACATAAGGAAATCTGATACAACTAGGATATGATATTCGGGCATCAGCTTAATATACCGGATTTCGCAGAATAGGCTTCACTTCCTTCGCAAAGAGAATAAAGTTCTAAATCTGTGGCACCTGAAATCCATTTCATTTTGAAAGACCTAGTGTTTGTATCACAGCTCTGCTAGCACTCAAGACATTGTTTATAAGAGTCAGCAACTGATGCACGAATACTGATGAAAGGCAGCTTACAAAAGATGAATAAGATCCAAATAAGGAGAACTGGGTAGGAATCTTGATTGGTGCTGCCATCGCTGAGGGTAAATTTGACACTTATCACACTTTGTAACTTCTGGTTTGAAATCAGTGCTACGTTGAATGAGACGCTTTCCCAACAAATTAGATCGTTAAGGTATTATTGTACTGGCGTCCAAAAGCATCACGAAACAAATGAATGTGCTGCGTTTATGTTAAATCATTGGGGCGATGGCTTCCAAGGATTTTAGAGTAAATTAAACTTTCAGCAATAGGAAGTCCTACAGACATACGGTGCAGAACGTCACGAGAGTCTTCTCTTCGGAAGGTAATTGTTGGAGGGGATCATTGTACACGGTCAAACACAAGACTGAAGAATACCACGATCTTACCCACTGTTTACTCCCCTGACAACCGTTCGAAAATCACACACACAGGACACGGTAAATTGGTGTGTACCATTTACACTATAATGGCAGTCACAAGTGAACACAGAGGAATGATAAGTAGTAGCCTGTAGTGCTCATCGTACGTTGGCTTACGGGGCAACGGCAAATGGGTGTGTTAGCTACCAGGCAGACGCAACGATAGGCGAGAATGAGAGACAAAAGCAAAGAACAAAACACAGGGGCTACCAGCTCAGTGAGCGGATAGAAAAGAGGACAACAGAGTACAGCCACTCGATATGAAAGAAAATCAAATTGGGCTCCCGAGAAACGATGACATTGAGAAGGTTGTGGGACAACCGGCTCATTAATCGATTTTGATGGCCGAATAAATATGTCGTAGAAAGACAAATGTCGCTGTAAACCCGATAGCTCCTGTCAGAACCCAGAAGACCAGAACCATAAGCACTGTATATCCGAAGTAGACGACCGTCGGTACAAACTGAGTGATATCCAACTGGAATGTTACAAAAAAGCAAAAAAGGAATGAATAGAGTACTATTATGATTACGGACGAAAATGTAACACTATAAAAATACTGGTGCCTTACTCAAGCATGTGTATGTGACTATATCTATCAATACAGGTCGTTCCCGTGTGTGGGTTGGAAAAAAATACCGGGCCGTTGAACCCAGTTCAGAATCTCTTGCTTAAACACTTAAGCACAAAGTAGTGGTGACTAGCTCAGACAACACTTTAGAAAAATTACTAGTCATTAGTTTTCTGGATTTCCTCCGCTTCTGTTCAGCTTGAAACTTAGAGGCCTTCATCACCCATCCTTCAAACACCATTTCACTGGATTCTACTGATCTACCACCGAAAGCAAAGTTTTCACACAATTTCTACTACATTATTCCTTTGGATTCCACTACACACAATCAAGGTTATTGGAAGGCCCGTCATTACTGCGTATGATGCCCCCAGTATGTCTCCCATGTTCTCTACGGTGCTTATGCCCATAGCTTCGTGAATAGACAGTACGGACCGAAAAAACACTATATCGAAATATCACCTTCATGTTTGGAGAACAACAGCCCATTGTAGGAGTCAGACGTGATACCTACATTAGGTTTGAATACGACTGTGAGAAGCCAACAAACTCATATCTTTTCTGATCTTTTTCAGTTAGTCCCCGTGATTTCTCGCATTCCGCATCTTCATAATGCCATTTGGGTTCTGTTAGCTTACCATTGTGAGAACCAACTAATAAATTTGTCAAATGTTGCGTTACCCCAACGACTCAAACAGACCGTGTTCACCTAACGGAGGAACAGAGGATTAAACTACAAGATAATCCGCATTGCGAATTCGGTTGGCGTGAATTTTCTTATCCTCTTCTATTTCGTGCGAATAGTGAAGGAAGTTATCACCTACTATCTGGATCGCACTTTTTGCCACTATTGTATAGCACCTTCATTCGCGATTCCATAAGAACTGATCATTAGCCTCAAGAAAGAACCAGGGTTTCTTTGTGTTTGTCTTTCAAAATCATCGGGACGTGCCCGATGCTCGAATCCAGGCTTACGGACCTACTTCATGTGCGCAGTGTTTAGCATTTGGTTATTTACGGCCTTTACTATGTTCGCAATGAAGTACAGACTTGGGTATAAATTGTCATTTTCTCAGTATTTAACATACAGCACTGGACCAGAAGGTCGCTCACCAAAATAGCTGATTACCTGAATTCAAGTGCCATTATTCCTGCATGTTTTCAGGCACATATGATTTCTCTATCCATCAGTGATAACGAGGAATCATGTTTTAATGAACTGCCGTTACTCATATCGAGACCACAGATTACCAAACAGTGGTAGTCACGGTGAAGAAGACTGCACTTGTGAACTTAAGGAAGCACATGAGGAACCCATTAGCATCATTCGTGTTAAATGCAGCTCAAAGGCAGTTATCAATAGAATCAGAGGGGACGGGGTTAGTAGCGTTTCGTATTTGGTCCTTCGGGAGTTTTACGTACAACCGATCAAAACAAATACTACATTTAGTGAACAGTTGCCTTGAACGATATACGCTGTAAGTGCGCTGAATTGGTATTGGGAAAGTTAACATTGTTCAGTGGCTTCACAAGCTTTCCGTGCCATCTTAAGAGAGCGAGTACACATGCTCTCACCCAAGAACCTGTGTGTGCCCGACAATCCGCTCTGCACTGACTTGGCAAGAGAGACTGTAATGTACAGTCGGGCAAATTACCGAGGTATGCAAATGGTCATACCGTGATCAGGCTGTCTAAAAAACTGTGACAAGTAATTTGGCTTATCGTTATTCCACTTTGACTGCACTCTGTCGTTACTTGAGTAACCACGCAATAAATGTGATTCACTCAGGCTCAGCGAACACGTGCAATTAGCTTGCAGCTCAATCTCCGGCTCTAATCACTTTTAAAAGATCACCCACACGGCAGCTGTTATGAAGAGCCGTAAGATTCACTCTTTATCCGAAATTATTTCTACCGCTACTCCCAAGTGATCGTAAAACCTCGGCACGTTCGTACATTACTATTCGCGGTGGATTGGCCCGGGGAAATCCCAACAGACATCTACTGCCTTTTCAGTTCGTCCAAAGGTGCGACGTGACATTTGATGGCCTATTGTATCACAACGCGGAGTTACCACACCATCCCCATTAAGCTCCGCTGTGTTATATGCATTTCGGACACATGGGAGTCGATTGTTTGTTGCTGACTAGAGTTATCGAATGACGCAATGAGCACCTCATACGATTCTGGAAAACGGGGAGAGAAACCACAAGTGTTTTCCAAAAGGAACGCAAGTCAGTTAGTGATCCTCACTATCGGTAATTGATGGTGATGTGGTCAATTTGGGTTCGTGGCTGGCACGCTGTTGGGGGACATCATATGGGCAGATGAATTCGGTTATTTCGGAAGTTAGTACTGCATAGAAACGGTCTGTGGTCAGCTGAAGCTCTTTCGCCACTGTCCTTACGTGCTAAGGCCAATCCAAGTCGATCATGTAATGAGTCTCAGATGCACAGATTCACTTGTGAATTCAAATCTCCGGCAGCCACAGCAGTACCTTGGCTTTTAGTCCACCGAAACAGAGCACTTAAGGCGAAATAGAAGCTGTATTTGATGATGTTAGGGCCACAGTCCGTTGGAGGCGTAAGTTGACACAACAAACAACCATCAACGATTGTGAGACTCCTTCAAGAACGCTGTCAGACAAACTGCGCAGAAGTAAGTTCCGACAAGCATCCAGCCAAAGAATTCTTCTCCCAGTTTACTTCAGGATACGGATCCTGAACAACTTGTAGCAGCGGCCTCTGGATCACTAAAGGTGCGCATCCGGAAGTGAGTGGAGAGCGAGGGGTAGTCAACGATTGTGCTGAGATCTTGAGTACGGGTTGCTGATACACAGCACGTAACGATGTTGAGTACGTCTAGTGTGGGAGGAAGTGTAGCTTGTTATCCTATTTGCTTAGCTTTCACGATCTCAAGGGGGTTGTAACTTTGTCGACCGTCAAAATCTTTCGCAGAGTTTGGTGATCAAAGTTGTCTCTCCTAAATCTATAGCGCGAAATCCAGTGGGCACATACGAGTATTCAGCAAGCCTACGCATGCGTTCACCACGTCCAGTGGTGAGACAACGTTCGAATTCGTTATACACACGCTGCATCAAACGTCCCTGTCGGCTTAAGAAAACTCGGGCACCGAAACGCTCCCCGGATGGCATTATTCTAATCGGCCAAACCGAAAGGTGTCTGCTTGAATAATTGCTAGTTGATAGTCACTGCTATGCACGTCCTTTTTAACGTCTGTGAAGGTGTCCCGCAAACGCGGATAATCACTGTCTGTTCATCGTATCTCTTTAAGCCCCCAAATACTGTAGCTCTGATGCTCATAAAGACAGCTTTTACGACGCTTTGATCGCATTGTTGTGGCGGCTAAAGAGCTAAGATATTCCTGTGATTGCTGGATATCTGAACGAGCAAACAGGTAGAATCAATGCTGCTGATGCTCAATTTGGTGGTCGTCCTGGACGGATATCGAGACGCATGGACAAGGGCGAATGCCTGTTGCAGATACGCGCTTACCACAGACCATTTCTGTACAGTAATGGATTCCGAAACAACCAAAGCGGCTTGGACACACGGGATACAGCCTCCATTACACATAGACAACACCGCGTTGGCCACTCGTTCTGGAACACTCACATGAATCCGGATAACGCGCCTGTTCGTTGCTGCGCTTTTCCGGGCGTGCAAGAATCTCTCGAATCCTGATGTGAAACAAGATTAACCGAACCACCTACTGAAGTCCATTACGGACAAAGGACGCGTGCATCTGGGCTGTATTGTTGTACGACTATGAGACTGGGCCCCTTCGGTAGGAGGATCTGAGACAACTTTAGTTCCTAGACGACTGACGTCTCAAAATCATGGCTGGAATCAACCGGAACCAGCGAATTCACAATGAGGTGGTCAGGGAAGCGATTTCTGGTGAAGCAAAGAATGGATCCAGCACTGCAAGCCGAGGTGTTTGGGCCATGTGTTACGCGTGGCGAGTTACCGTCTGTCAAGACAACCGCTGTTTTCCGTGCCTAATTTGGAGTGGCGGAAACCTAGGGGTGGACAGAATTTCACGTGGCAGAAGGGAATGAAGGATATTACGAGAAGTGTGTGCTATTGGTGGTGGTCGGCTTCCAGGATGGGGGCCACGTGACCTTCCCAGTGCTCGGTTGGAGACGACATGGCTACTAACAATGTCGGTGACGTTTACGCTGTCTCTGTCTAGATTGTAACTGAACGCTAGAGGTGTAGGTACCTCAGATATTTGTTGTAGGCTAGCAGTAGGTCCTCCTTCCTATCCAATTCCTTGTTTCCATCATAAGGCTTTATCTTAATAATAAGTAATAATAATAGATTGATATTTTTGTACGAGAGTGAAGAACCTGTTCTCACGTGGTGTTGGTGCCAATGACGTTGATGTGCGCAAGGTGTGGACAAGTAAAGCGGGGGACTGGGGTAGTGATAAACCAGGAAGCCCTTCATTGCACTCAAAAATACAGGATCATGACGTGTGTCTTTTTATTGCGTCTCAGGTTTGCACCTCGGGTTGTAAATAGCCCACGTAAGCGTTTTGATTCCTTTGGGTTGCTCGACGACTATCCTCCAAGACGGACAATTTTTGTTCAGATTCACCAGAGTAACTAGGGAATTAACAGCAAGCAGATGCTGGTTACGGACCGATGCCCAAGTCAGTTAGCTCAGAACGGTCATTGTTCCCAAACACATGCAACGAAGAAAATTAGCTTCTTTAACCCAACAGTAGCCATCGCGCAACATCATCGAAATGAGCCACGGGCTGTAGTTTATGAAGAGTCTACTGTTAACATTCATTAGATCAAGTACTGTTGTCACCAGACGGTAGCTTGAAGTCGATTGATATTATAGGAGCAGGAACGAGACATTCGGTGATTGCATTGGATTCGAGTAATAAGTAACTTACACTGTCCCACAATTCTAATCGCCAAGGCATCTACGAATCGCGTGGGTTGGATTTAGCATGGCCAGGCAGTGCGGCTGAGAGCATTTATCAGAGGAGTACTGCTGACCAGGGTCTACCAACCACCCTTAATCCCTCGAAATCCTTACATGTCACCTGTAGCCTCATTCCCAGTGCTAATTTCAATCCAGTCTCATAACTCCTTGGTTCGTTGTTTTTCTGATCGTCCCGTATAGAGTAAGTTGAGAAAGGAATTTCCAAAAGGTTTCATTCCGCCATTGCGAAGACAAGCACTTCAGAATTCGTTCTATCGGTTCCATCATTGATCTATCTAGCGCTTCTGCTGACTTCCAGTCATTCTTATCTGGTCCAATCCCATCCACTGTTCTCAGCACTTTTCTCCTTTTGAACAATCTTGCTAACCCCTAGAAATTTCGATTGAGGATCGGGTTGAGGTTCACATATTCAGTCCTTACTGACTCCATGATGATGTGATGCGACACCATACATGATGCATACGTCCTACTGCCTTTATATAGTGTTTGTCATTCTATAGAGGGTCATAGAAGAAGGGCTATCCTATCAGTGCTCATTCGCGACGAACATCGGTTCTGAAGGTTTATATGAGATTACTCTGTCAGACACCAATGATTCATTTCCAGGGGCCTCTCATTGGAAGAATGGAGGTGACGGAGGTACGTTCTCATCATGGCCTTACTGGTTCTTAAGGTTTCGTAGGGTGAGATTTTGCAGAAAATGCGGTCTTCCCGGTATATTCTGAAGTCATAGTTACGAAGTGGATCGATACAGAGATGTGTGAAGGTCAGCGGGGCTATGTAAATATGAGAAATGCAGAGAACACGCACAAAGTCGCCTGAAACCTACATTTGTTCTACTTCTAATTGACACAAACTGACTACGGAATGTTGGTCGATCAACTAAAACCGACCCGGTTGAACGAGCGACTGATAATTCTAATCGTGTCCATGCATGTAACGAAGTTATTAAGTGTACCTAAGTGTGTATCATGGAGCCGGTACATTTGCGTACCAGAGAGAAACACCGTGGGGGGAGATGAGGTGAGTGCATCATTGGGATGCATAAACAGTTATTCTTAGATTAAGTCAAACAAAGGACTTTTAGATCTCCGTCGACTAACTTGCTATGAATCATGTTCGAACATACCAGGCAAGAACGTGAGGAGGAAACCAAAAAATCATTACACAAAATCCAGTGTCATGTGAAATTGAGTGTTTGAAACAAATATCGCAAACAGAGCTTGCACAGTTGGGAATATAAACGAGATCTAGTTTGCGCCAGTCGATAGGTACTCGTTCGGTCCACCGTTCATTATCAGCAAAGAGCATAGCCGGAAAGAACAGTCACCATATGTGCACGTATTGCTTACGTGAATACATTCTCATAATCAGAAGGCATCACCTTGGTGATCACCACTGTACATAAGGGAGCAGCTTCTGAACGATACATAGGCCACGCGTACAGAATTTCAAGTCCAGAGAGCTGATTTTTGGCCAGTATCCATCAGTGGCGTCACACTGGCCCTTAAAAGTGGAGGCGGAAAGTTTTTTTCTAGAGAATGGGTCCAATCATTATTCTGTCTACAAAGCGCTCAGGAGAACAGCTTTGTTGGGGGATTATCCTTAAAGTAACTGCCAATAATTCGTTCTAACACATACGAGACTATCTTTTTCCACTTGACCCTCTGATGGGAAAATCGGTCCATAAATCCAAAAAACAGGAGTGTGGTATAAGATCCTAGTAACTTCGAGACAAAGCCGACTTCTTTCTGTAGCTTAAACGGCCAGAAAGCCAGCTATTACGTCAGATTCACTAGAAGCTACAGGGGACAAGACCCACTTCACGGAACTACAAGTTGGAATTAAAGCTCCTGTGATTCACTAAAATGAAGTTGTTGTTTATGCACGCGAGTAGGGCTATTTTAACGGAAACGAGCCGCATAAAATCACCAAAATTACCTTGAAGAGACGACCCTTTTTCGATCCGATCAGCTTTCAGCTAACTAGTTGGACTTTTGGATGAGTGTTGCCAACGTAAACAGAATTGTCCAGGGTATTTTCTTGGTCAATATATGATTAATAAATGACAATATAATATATAATGCTATATCATATTATTATGCAGTATATTATATCATAGTATATATTGTACACAAATTATATACGTCAAATTATTCGAACTCAGTGATAGGCAAAAACGGAATCTCTCTCCGTTTCCACAAGAGTTACATGGGGACGCAGCAAACAGTCCTACCGGTATATTAAACTAAACTAAACTAAAACATTGTCACGCAAGGAGTACATACTTAATGATCTTTAGTTGAGCTGTGTCCATACCAGCTTAGTTAATACGACCTAGGTAACGTTTGCCTCGATGGTGTGCACAACCGACTTGAGAAAAAAACACAAGCTACATTGATCAGGCTACCGATACAGGTTTTTCAATGACACTCCTTTGTTCCATCTTTTTGACGATAGTTTCGACTGGAGCGAAGTCAGACAACGCAATTCAGCAACAGAAGATAACCTGAGCTGCGGTTCTCGTCTGAAAGCATTCGCACTTGGTACTATCTGCAGTTCCAGAAATTTCAGATTCTCATGTCAAGCACGTACGATGAAGCGTATGAAGCTCAACTATGGTGATAGGTAAGCATCGTGTTCCTCTGAAGAAAGCAACATCCTCCTGGAAGCAAACAGGATGCTGCGGACTTGTTTTATCGTTAACTACAGGAAACCGTATTTTTGCATCCTGATGGATAAAAATAGGTTCGAGGAAAGAACCAGCAAAATATAAGAACGTCAGCAACGAACATCGCTTGAAAGACATACCTTCGTCCAATAGTAGAAAATAGAATAGACGAACAGATACAGGGCCGGGCCACCCGAAGCAACAAACGTTCGCCACCACCAACGATAGTCCTATAATATGACAAGATAGAAAATAGAAGAATTATTAGAACATTCGATGTTCAGGTTCACATGGCGCTTTCTAAAATTGGAAAAAGAATGAAGACTAACAACAGTAGTATGGTCAAGTTTTGCGACGAATACAATGCCATGGAGGGGGTAATATAAAAACCGCTAAGTTTTAACATCAGGAGGGGATATTGAGCTTCAATTTGTCGTCGAGAACAAGCAACTGGCTTAACAGGGCCTCTGAAATTTATTCAACAACGAATCGGTACGAAAAGATAAACATTTTGACACTACAAGAGATAAAACCAGATTCGAAGTAACTGTTACTCGTCCCGGCGAGACCAACTTTGAGTGCGATGTAGCATGACATATCAAACAACAAGCCTTTTTGTGTAATTTCACGTCTAGTGTAACAAAGTGGTTACACTGGAATTCGTTTCCATTCATACTAACTCAGTGTAGAAGGATGACTGACGAATGTGTCACAAATGTGACTTCGGGAAGGAAGTCGTCCATCTTGAATTGCTAGATTTATAACAGACAGCAATCGAGGGTGTGAAAGTTGATAAATCCAGTTTTGTACTTTTGAGGACTATTGCATGCTCTTAGCTGCTTATATCCTGCTCATGCACTTGTCAGCGACAACTCGCGGGGCTTCCACAGACGATCAAACGGTGACATCATCCAGCCATGTGTTGTCATTTGACCGAATTGAGGTATAAGAAACGGGGCTTGCTTAGGGCACTAAGAGTTTTCGGTTGTAGATCCACGAAGTGCAACTGTGGTGAATGCATATTGACTCCCAGTGTGTGAGTGTGACGAGAGGCAAGCGTTCAGCAAGCGCGAGCCCCACTCCTTAGATCTATCTTTCACATCATCATCATCATCATCATCATCGACAGTATGACATCAGTGTTCAACACCGATGCTTCACTGCCGTAATCTTTCACATAGTATAGTGTACCGGGTTTTCATCAAGAACAATCACAAAGCTTGTCTCCTCTACATGCCTCCCTGATGTCCAAAAATAAACGATTACCCTGTGGAGCAATCTGCAGACTGGAGCGCTTGACAAGTGACCGCAACAAACATTGTGACGAATTGCCGTTGACCAACTTGTTGGCATAAACATTCGATTACTGGCCCATTATTCTCTGAGAATGTTATAATGGTTCGGTAGGTGAGTCAAAAAGACGAATCAGAGTTCCGTGGTCTGCAAAAACAGTTGCATTAACCTGTCAAACTAGCCCAGAAAACCAAATACTTCAATAAACTTATGAGTTGTGTATTACGCCTATACATGTATCGCGATATCTCGAATATCGTACCAACTGAAAGATGAGGCGGCCTGGTGCGGCACAGTCAGTTGCTTAAAGACATCATAAATGAGAGATTTAGCTGGGTTCCAGGTGAGTCTCTCCTCAAAACCAAATTGGCATACAAATAGGTGTATTTTGCAAATAATTCTCTAGTTCGAGCAATGAGTGCTCGGACTGACCACTAACTGGTAGAAATGAGAAATACGAGAATCCAGCAGGAGGTCAACAGCATTTGTTCAATACCGTAAGTCCTTATAGAGTTCAGTCAACTAAAGCGCTATACAAGCGTATAAGAGCACATTAAACATATGCCGCGAAAGTGTGATTCATGTGACTCATGATTCTGAATAAAAAACTCACAACTCATCAATTGGACACCGATTTCATTTATACCCTGTCTACAATGCTCACCGCTGACTTCCATACATACCTGGAAGGTGACTCACGGATTCCATTAAGGCGCACTTCACCCGAAATGCACCAGAATTTACAATAAAGGAACGGTTAACATCACTTAATTTCTTAGTCCCAAAAAACAGATTCTCGTGAAGTTATGCACTGATTATCACTGTTATCTTGATCGGTGTCCTAGGACTTGACATCACTTCCTCGCCAAACAGATCATCATCGACAGCATAACACTAGTGTTGAACATTGGTGCTTCGCCGTCGTACAAGCCACACAAATGCGTCAGGCTGTTCACCTGAGTGGGTATGGAAGTGTGGATTTGAATATACAGCTGACGGCCTACATCACTTGACTATTTCCCTGAAGACCCATGCGTCCTTGTCACGCGCGACAAGTTGCACTTAAACGTGCCATCATGAGTCCCAATCGATCACTCCAACCCAAGTTACTGCGGCTTTCCTGTTACGCCGGGTAACTGAACTTATTCACCGGAGATCATTAAAGAGGAAGACATCTAACATATAAGACGTTAGTCTAAACTCTATCCATTCTGGAAACTGTATTAAGTGATCAGTTGAGCTGAGCTCGGATATCCTGTAGATTTGGCTAGCTCCGCTGCTAACCTGAGTCACTGGAAGCACATGATTTACGTAATGCTTCAAGGTCCAAAATTCAAAAATCTACGCTGACTGGCATGACAAAGTCCAAAAGACCTTGTGAAGTAGTGAATTAGGTTAAACGACCAGACGCATATTTCAATCTCCGTGCAAACCTATTTGCATTATCTGGTGGAGAGTACATGTAGAACTCACATATGCCGTTCACCACTCACAGTCACTCCATCAATATATCTCATCTTACTTGAATTCACTGATATCGAACCTCGACTCCCCACTGGCGAACCGAAGTTCCTCATGCGGTTCTTCTTGAAAGACGGGATCTGTCTTCATTTCCTCATCAAAAACAGAATTGTTCATGGCAGTACCTCAGATCCACATGCGTGTTTCACCGTAAATCTTTTCGTCCTCAACACGCATTAAAATACCATACCCAGGTAGTATAGCAATGTATTCTATCAGCCCACTGAAAGTGCCAGAATTTCGTAACAGAATATATATATAATTCGACTCTGATAAGACACGCCATTTGGCCTTCGTTCTACAGACCAACAACAATATGGATACACTTTTCGCCCATCTAAAATGCATCTCACAATACTTCGCGTCTACCGTGGATTCCGGTTATTAAAGCTCTACCGGATAGTCTGCACAAGTTGAGTAATGTCACAAAGAACGACACTCCGGCTCCCTTCGTAATGCGAAACGTATGCTATCAAAGAATGTCAGTGTGGCTACCTGTATTTTGGAAAACCCGAAATAGTGGCAGCTGTTACGTCATTTTTGGATGCAAGAGTGAACAGAATCTCATGAATGTCGCTTGGGATTCCAAAAATTGAGATTTCGATCGAGGAGATTGGCTGATTTGGATGCATTTCATTTCAGCTTAACTACATAGTCAAAAGAATAAATTTGTGCCAGCCAGGTAACTCTTTCAATGACAGTTCTCCTGAGTATATTTACGGGTAATGACTGCGGATCGTTGAGTAGAGAGGCACTTTTCCACATCTCAAAGTTCTAATTTACCTCTAGGGCATAAAAAGCAGCCGTGAAAGAAACGTCTCCTCAGCCGTGTCACTGATTCGTACCTAGTTCAGTGAGAGCGAATACCACTGAAGGCCTCTCGAAGGATGAAATCAGCTACAGGTACATCTGAACGATTCATTTAGTAAACTATACGGATATGCTACTCATCCCAAAACGATTAAAGACCGCCTGACCATGATTTTGTAATTTGCTCTTTATTTCCAAAACAACAGGTGCTCGGAATTCCAGAACTAAGCCAGAGAGCCAATCTGCAGGCGCTCACGGGACTCGGTAACCTTAGTCAATTGGTCATCCGGGCCCACAAGCACACTTGTATATTTGCTTTCTTGTAGGGATGGTAACTGATATCTGCTGAAATTGGTACGGTTCAACGTGTTTGTCGAAATCATAACCGAGAGACATGGAAAGTGTGCGTGGCTAAACTTTAGACCGACCAGGCAGAAACAATTAATGCGGCTTTGAAAGTGTCAACTATGGTTTACGGGGGGGGGGGGGTTGTTTGACTGACCTGGCGCTGCGCTCACCACGGACTACTCTCAAAAAGCGTGTTGTCAGGTGACCCATCTACTAAGGCCGTCGTCAAGCTGTAGCACCCTTTCAATGCCTAACTGCCATGCCACACGAAGGAGGCACGAGGGCTGGGATACTGCCAGGTTGCCCAAGCCTAGACAGGGGAAGTCGAGAGGCAGAGGTCGGGTTCGAACCACGGACCTTCCGGTCAGCAAATTCGCGCTCTAACCACTTGGTCCATCTCGCCCCCCTCTAAGGCCGTCAATTGTAGCAGAATCGTTTTCACAGAGGCAAAAGGCAAGAGGGGGCTAAAATCAGGGTGATAGACCACTGGTAGTCCGTCTAACAAATGATGCAAGCGACCCATATGTTTCAACAATTTAGTTGTCCCCACATTAGTTGACACTTATGTGGCTTCACCTGGTTTCAGAACCGTCTCATCCCGTTCACGGTTAGTCTTGTTTACAAATGAGGCAGAGCATTCAGTAGCTAAACGCGAGCGGCATGTTTGGTACTATCTACTGTGCACAAAAGATCACCGACGTAGTTCCAAGCAAAAGACCAATTTGTGTAGACGTTCAACAATCCTTTAGAATGTCTGAAACAAAAAATTAACCAACTCTCACAACTACGGCTTGGTACATACGTTTCCAATTTGTGGCGGGTAGGTTTGGTTATTGCGCAGTGTGGGTTCATCCACGGATCAAAATAGCGTCCCCCTGAATGATAAGCACGTAACTCGTCCCCAAAAGGTCACAAAAAAGTGGATAAAGGATCAAAATTGAGCACGAAAGAAATACGGTAATCATTCCTCGCAAGAAAAGCTTAGCACAACCCTCATACCTTCAAAACTCATTTGAGGTATAACTACCAAATTAACTCACCTCGTTGCAGAGTTGGAAATAAGTAAGCACAATAGCGACTTGTGCACAGCAGATGATGAGGATGACGAAGACCACAAACAAAAATCCGAATAGGTAGTAAAAACGACTCTCCCACAAAGCCTGCAAACATAAATATTGAAAAAATTAAACGAAAATGGATGATAGGAATTTTGAGTAGGTTTGCTGATAAGATAGAGCACAAAATATCAGTAGTTCAGTATGAGTCAGGATAGATCTAGGCGACAGGCGCGGTACCAAATAATAACCACTCTACATATGTATAAGTAATGATTAGTTAGGAATATACACGGAAGACGTCAGGGAGAAAACAACTCCCTCTATAAAAAGGACTGATGAAAGCCCTAGTCGGGAGACAGTCAGTAAGCACCTGAAGGTTGGCTGTTCTTTTTGAAATTGCCTACAGAGATCTTCAGAAAAAAGCTCAGTACAATCTCTAAAGGTAACATCTAAGATGAACCTCAAATTTCAAAATGTGGATTTAACTGCTCACTGATCAAAGTCACATACTGATGTGATTTTCATCGCGTAGGTAAGCCGTGTGGTTTAGGTCCGAGATTACCACACGGATTCCATTCTTGGGAAGAGATTTCCATAAAATGCGGACCATCCTTTAAGTTAGGCTTATTTTGATATGTCTTCAAGGCATTAGCAGATAACCTACCTTAACTTTAGCGTCACGGCAGCGACATCAAGTTAACTTGCTTATTGAAATATGAGAGTACACGACGTCACTTGAATCAATCACTGAGCGGTGCAAAGACGGTACGGGGGCTATTGATGACACCCGTAAACAGGGTGAGTGCATCTTTGGTAATATTGTCTAAAAGTTACCTCCCATCACCACACTCTGTGCGGAACGAAGTGATATAGACATCAGTCGCTGAGAAAAAATGATTCCGATAAAAGGTGATGATGGAAAGATGACGAAAAGAAATGCCTAGCTACCCCAAAATATCCCTTCGTGACAAATATACGGTATATTGTTGAGAAGAAATGGGCTCAATCAAAACACGGAAAATCATATCGGTTAGCCAAATTATCGTCTATTCCAAAGGCATCAAGAACCAGTGTTATCTGCTGTACATGCCTCATCCCATGCCCGTATGCACTATGATAATCCAACGCATGGGGACAACCGACGACACTTCTGGCTTCCACGTTTAGCAATGTTTTTGTTTCGTCAACACCCGCAATGAGTCGTACAGGTCCCAGTAAAAACTAAAAATGAAACCATCACTCCTTGCGCCAAAAGCTATTCAAGAGAAGCGCAATCTGTAAGGAAAGCATGGCAAATAAAGGCTCAATATGTTTTTGATAAATCAATCGGACTATGTTTCTGTTGCCTCCAAGCTGCGAAGACCACGTAACCAATGAAGCTAAGCCATACTGGATAGCAGAAATTGACTCCACCACGAAAGATGTGTTTGGTCAGAGATCCCTTCTGCTACTTAGTTCGTGAATCGCTGAGGAAAATTCCACAAAAGCACTGTCATACGCAAACTAAACCACTCAAGACCAAAAAAATATGTATCGTGACGTAGTTCATGTCCATCAATCCATAATAAGGTGGGTAATGATTAAAAACATAATTAATCGTCCAGTGGTAGCATCCCTTCGGTGCATAACTGTCATGAAATTCGAAGAAAGCACGACGCCTGAGAGACTACCAGGTTGCCAAAACTTACAAGTTACCAGGTTGGGTTCAAACAGCAGGATTTTATGACTAGTAGCTTCCAACATTAACCACAATGCTATCTCGGAGACTGTGGATCCAACTTCTCGGTTGCCATTGACAATAAATACCCCAAACTGCAATCAAAATTATCAATTCAAACGTGAAACATACTATGAAAAAGGCTAAGATATTCGGGTCGGATGCTGGTGATATACGACGTGGTAGGTCGAGAGAAGTTGAAGATAACTCACCATGTAGATGAAAAAGACCTCAATAAACACGGCACCAAACGGCAGCGCTCCAGCTAACAAAGTTCTGTAACATAAGGATAACAAAAGGCTTGTCAAAATATCCTGATGACTGCAAATCTCAGGGCATCTCGAATACGTGAAACATCTCGACTGGGTTGAATTAAGCTGGGTTCCGGCATTCAGTCTACACAAATGAGACCCAGTTGAAACATAAGACGTCTTCGCACCACACATAGGTGGAAGGAAAAAAACAAGGACGAGTAGACAGTTAAAAAAATAACCGTAATAAAGCAAACTAACTCAGTCCCACCAAAATCATGCGATCCCGTTTTATCAACCTTTCTACGTGCAACCAGTAGGGCCTGGGGGTACAAAAACACGAATATCGAGAAACTGAATGGCTGGGAGGAACTCGAATGGTTGGTTAGCTAGATACAGCCTAGGTACAAAAGACCCAAATGTTTCAGCTTCAATGTCATAATCTACACATAGGTTAGAAAGAAGAATGACTTATACGAGTGAAACTTCCATCTGGGAAGTCGTCACTTGAGCCAGTCCACGACACGTGACGTGTCGTGGATTACGCGATGAGTAGCGCCATATCCTAAGTGCAGGTTAATCACATTGCTGATCAATCGCTCGTGGCTGAACGCTTAAATATCAGCTGCTAGCTGGGAGGCAGCGGGCTCAAAACTCTCCGGAATCCCGTGAGACCAGCACCACTGATGATTCTCAATAAAGATGAAATAGCTGTACAGTGCTTCTTGGATTGTCACTTACAGGACGAAATTTCAATTAAAATGTCTCAAAGACTCAATCGGCGACTTTCAAGAGCGCTGAGATACCTCATGTAGTTAGGGAACTGAACCACAGCGAGCGATACCTGGCTACTATAATGCGAAGTCTTCAACCATTGGCACCTGAAGACGATATCCTAAACAAGGATGAATCTGATCTTTATTGAAGCAGTTCAACATCATCGCGATATATCACAACTGGCTGTGCACATTGAGGAACGCTACCGCAACCATCCGGACATGTACTCCACAAGTCAGGTGACGTGCTTGCGAAGCTTCTCAACTCAGACTCATATCAAGATTGGCGTTGTTGCTGGCGTCAACTTAAGGCCCTGATCGCTTACAATCGAACAGTTTCTTGGTCACCTTGGCTCCAGTCCACCTGTAGTGTTTAATATTGGAAAAAGGACTCGGTGGCCATCTGCGCAAATTGTCAAGTAAGGGCGGACGTAGTAAGCGACAACGATTGGACCGACTTATCCTCCAGTAAAAGTAAGTTAGAACAATGACTGAGAATATCAGAGGTTATGCTGAGAACTAACATTTCCTTCTATGTTTTTCAATACTCCAATGCAATCGCATTAGCCTAAGTAACCACACAAATGGATTTGAAGAACTCACGAGACAAGTAGATTCTGGTGGAATTTCGCTGGCGGAACGGCACGCGGAATCTGATTGGTGCGCACGGGCAGTTCAAACGGTCGTTTTCGATAGCCAAAGAAAAATCCGGTGTAGACCAGTGGCAGCGAAATACCCAACCATAATGCGAGGATGGCCAACATGGTTGTGAACGGCACGGCAGCTGAGGAACGTTTGTACCATACAAATGTGTTCAACACAAGTCCGATAATCAACAACAGAGTCGGAAAAAACATTCCGGTCTGAAAGTAAGATAGAAGAAAACTAAGAGGCCAATGGGATAATTCTGTTGCAATATCTACATAGCATCAATAAAACGTATCTCCGAAGGCGACTCGTCCCGGATCGGAAAACAGTTGCCCTGAAGTACTCCGAACCGGCAAATCTAACAATGCCACAATAAATATTTATCAAACAGGGGATCCGGTTGACTGCAATAAACTTCACATACTTACCATCACGGCAGTTGATTTCCATAACATTCCACGCATTGTCTTATACAACCGACCAGCGTAGTAACCGGCGAACACGCCCATGAAGACGTAGGTGAATATGGCAGCCGTCATCACAGCACCACGGGAGGCCGGTGACAACATACCCAGCATGGCGAAGACTAGCGGAGAACGGAAATATACGAACAATAGCAGTAGGAAGATGACGAAATTTCGAACGTGAGAAGAACCATCAATCGTAGTGTATCTGTTCCGCTTAACGAAAAAGTATCAGTTCAGTTTACGCAGTTTTTTAAGACATAAACCTTGTTCCAACTGTTACGGTTTCGGTCAGCGAACAAGGAAGAGCAGAGGAGATGCAGTCAAGCGCTGGAGGCAATGGCATAATCAGTTACGTTACAAGCAAGGGGACAAAAACATCTACCAATGTGGGTTGTCACCGGGTCAGCATCTCACCAGAGCAGGTTCAATCAAATAAGCAAGATGGCAGACCCCGGTGAAGACGACTGACCAACCTAACCAGGCAAAGCTGTTCGCTTCTTGAGAACACACTCCTTTTGGTGACACAAGAACTTGCCACATTTTGGCGAATCGTGTGGCACGGAAGGATAGTTAACGAAGAATGTATTGTTTGGATGCATACAGCTGACGACATCCACATGGTGTTACCGCTATCTTGGGAAATGCCGTCGTTGGTAACCCCAGTGCATACTTTTACTCGTTTCCAAGTTGCAGGGGGGGACACCATTCTGAAACATTTGAACATAACTCGCACCGCAATCGGTCACATGAGAGCTGGTTAAAGGACACCCTGGAAAATACTCACTGAAAACAGCACATACGACCAAAACACTATTCTCCAAACGAAGTCGGAGGATCTCTGCCCTCCTTCAGTCTGTTAACAGCAAGAACCGAGCTGACTTTCGTTATCACTAGGGTGTGATCAGAGCCCTGCTACAAACGAGGCCGTTGACCAACACAGGTGAGACCTGGCAGCATAAATGGGGCAAGTACAAGAATCTGTTTGGTTCGTACAAGTGGAGCAGGGAATCTCGTCACCAAAGCAGAGTTGACTTGATATTTAGGCACCCGGCTAGAAGTGACAAAACCCGGGTGGACCAGTCGTTCGTTTGGCAGCCCAACTGACAACACACGACAACACACTTCTAGCTGAGTTGCCCGAGCCCAGTCACGTCATTTTGTTCCTTTATTTTAATGAGAGGTAAAATTCTACTCCACGACGAATTGTTCGCAACTTGTTGCACATTAACTACAGTATTCAGACTCGGTGGGTAGTGCCTTACCGAGGGAGCCGATAAATACGGGGGCCGGAAGCGTGAAGTATGTCACAAAGGCAAGCAGGGCTGGTGACTGTACTTCTTCAGCCGAAAGCCACCAAAGGGAGCCTTTCAGACGGCTCAGCGTAAGTCTTGAAACCCTACTAACTGCCGGGACCACTTCGGCTTATTACACGTTAACCCCCTGTTAAGGAGGATACGAATTTTCATACCGGATAACAGTCGTTGAGTTTTATGGTGACTTTTAATTGTGATGTTTTGTCACTATTGCTAGAAAATGCAGTTATAATCCAATCACGTGCTTACTTTGTCCTTAATATGCAGTCCTCCGTCCGTTCACGAACTGGAGGAGCCACAGTTATTTTTGCGAAGCACAGATATCATCTGATGTCACCGTTTAAAAAACTAATCACACATCGCCAATTAAACGACGCTACAAATATGCACTGTACGTGAGGTTTTAAAAAAGCTGTTCTTTAAACATGCTACTCATAAGGTCGCCGGTTTCATTCTTCTTGGGGCCCATCAGGTAGGCGTAGTCCCTGAGTTTCCGTGAACCTTATCTTCTAGTTGAGCTCAGATTGGACGGAAATCGCCAAATACGCTGATTTACATAAAAACTTGGTTTTACAGGGAGTCCCAACTGAATCCAGCTGAATTTCTCGTTCATCATGTATTGCGATATCGAACCAACCGAAACATCACGCGGCCTGATGCAACATATTCAGTTAAAGGAGACCACCATAAATAAGAGATTCAGTTAGATAAAGTTAGGCCTCCTGTGAGAATGAAATTCGTATGAAAACGAGAGTATTCTGCGAAACGCTGTTCTCAGTCACGTGCCTTCAGGAAGCTTTTAACACCAATCGATGAGGCGACAGTTCTCAGTGAAACTGACTTAAACCGTCCAAAATCATGCAAACATTGGACCTTGAAGCTTCAATTGAAAACCGTTGTTTCCCGTACATCTGACAATAAGAAACTCGCATGATTTTGCCCAATTTTTAAAGCTTCAGTTGTAAAAGGATATCCGAAGACCTTATACACGCGGTGCGAGTGTAACACCCCAGTGTGTCCAATCACAACTGGAGTACTGAAAGGTGAATAATGAGGCACTTCTCATGGGCTGCATTTGGATTAGTTGTTCGAGAATCGTTGGATGGAACTGGCCATTTAACAACCAGATCATTGAATTTAAATACGCTGGATGATTTCGAGAACATATCCCTTGTGAGTAGATAGAAATAGGGCCCAAGGCGGCTCGGGTCATAGTAAACAAATTGAGCGCCAAGTGGTGTGTAGTAAGAAAAGCCTACGGTCAAAATTGAACAACGATGCATCACCACTGGCAAAACAACAACCAGACAGATTCCAGTCAAACCAAACATCATGCGCGTGCACACACACCTAACCAACCATCTGACAACTGGCTTCATGAACACACCTATTAGGAGACATAATGGCGAACCCAAATAATGCTGGACTTGGCGCACAATCAGTTGATTATGAAAAAGATTGCCCACATCGCCCAAAAAGTCGCATTCTAACATCCTATTCCAATATTGTTTTACTTCAAACTTTTCATATATTCACTTGGAATACTACGAGGTGCATCTGATAGGCGCTTGCCCACTACATGTACTACCCTCTCTCGCCATGCCTCTTCAAATTTGTCACTGATGTGTTGCTCGAAACTTCTCCGCTTGCTTCTGAAACCTCGAGGATCGAAATGCACCCGGATTATTCGCTCAAACAGACGAAACTGACCACCTTGCTTAAGATTCTTCAAAGATGCAAGCTACCTTAACAGAAGTGGGTCATTCTGTTGCACGGTTCAGTATGCGCTTCACATATACAAGGGTTGGTACAAGACTGGGTGGGGGCAAAACCAAACCTCATGCTTAAAGACCACCCAATTGACGTAGCAGACAAATTTGTTTAACTGGGCAGCTGTATAAGTCTCCGTGAACTGGCTGGGGACGAGATTACTTCTCGAACCAGGACAGTTTCCGTCAACGGCCGACCCATGGCACCGGCATGGCTTCAATTTGTTTGTCAAGGGAAGAATATATACTGTGGCAGTGGGACCCATGCCACTTCATACATCAGAAACGGGGTGCTTACACAGATGTACGAGAGTTGTAAGTGTTGATTATCCGTGTCTCCGAAGCATTAGCCGGGTTTGATGAGAACATCAAATTAGCAATACTGAGGTACACCAGGAGCTTTTAGAAGAAACAACTCACATGGTGGATCAGCGACATATGCTAGTTAGGACATGTATTTTGTATAACAGAGAACCGTCTGTTTCGCAGAGTTCTTTTTGGCCAGTTCTATTAGAACGACCGAGGGGTATAGACTAATGAACCATGGTTCGAGCTGAGCGGGTCAAGAGACAGATATAGAAGCTTAGGTAAACCGATGTTGAAAACATTTTGTCCAGCGATCTGGACGCTGGCTTTTATTTTTAACTGCTTTTAACACTATCTTTGATTAGTTCAGTGGGCCCTGCATTACGGATTGTCTAAAACAGCTTGTGCCCACTCCCCGCTGACCTAGCCTCTCTCATTCCTAGTTACAACACGTTTGTCTGCGTTTGATCTGACGTCTAAAGGAAGGAATTTTGCTGTCATCCTGAATGTACAGAATATCTTGTGTCACGAAGTGACAGTGATCATTCTGGGATCAAGCGATTAGTATATGAACTTCCGGAAAAACCGAACGTCAAATTTTCAGCGCTGCGTTGATGTCTCTTCCCCGTTACGGGTGATACTCTCTGATGGAACCACTTTCAAGCTACCACATAGTACGCCCGGCTTTGTCACTGCGACATGGTTACTGACAAACATATCTATTGATCTTTCGTGTCAACTGAGTTTGGGTGACGAGACACTCTGGTTGAGTTTGTCAATTTCTTTACGACACCAGGTTTCACGAGCGTTTGTTGGTCAACTGGTTCTTTTGCAACAGGGCTCTGATCACACCTCAGTGACAATGATCTCGACCAACTTCACACACACACACACGCACCACCAAATTTGAAAAATAACCAGACCTTCAGAATCTGCGAAGGAGTGTACCATGTTGTACTCCTGTGGGACGTTATCATCCCCTGAGAGACGTTAAAGCGTAAAAGGCATATAATGATATCACATTATAGTATTATTATTAATATTATTATATTATATATATATTATAGTCCTATATTATATTGCACTATATTGTTATAAAGAGGCCGAAATTCCGCTTGGAATAATATCTCATAGGAGCCAGCGGTCCGAAAGAGAACAACTTAGCAAGTTTTTGTCACCAAAGTCTGGAAACTCGGTGATCTCAAACAAGGATATTAGCCACTTCACTCATTCCTCACCATCCGACAGTCTCAGTGAGTCGCTTTCCTATACAATCCCACGCGACACAGGGAGACAAGGCTTACCAGAGTGGGTAAAATAGGCTAAGCCCTGCCGATGGAGGGCTTTCCAATGTCATTGTAAACACTACTGGATGGATTTGGGGATGAGCTTGTGACTGAAAACCGAAATTTCTTTCTCATGTTAGTAATTTAGTTTACTAAAGCGTTTGCTTTATAAATGTGAAAGGCGGGTAATTAAATGAAACGAACAGGAGAAAAGCAAAGATTTGTACATATTAAGAGAGATACCACAGTCGATTACTGGTAGGGGTGCGTGAAGATAAGAACTCACAGATGG